AGAGAGAGAGGGGAGAGCGAGAGAGCGAGAAAGCGGGAAGAGCGACTTACGGCCGATAAAAACTCGCGGCAATTCGCGGCTGAGCCACGCGTTGAGTATCGACAAACGAGCAAGCCATCAGCCATCGCCGCGTGTACGCACCATGCATGTAACACCGATAGTAGCGGTAGCAGCAGCATCAGTAACAGTAGCAGCAGCATCAGTAGCAGTAGCAACAGCATCAGTAGCAGTAGCAGCAGCATCAGTAACAGTAGCAACAGCATCAGTAGCAGTAGCAGCAGCATCAGTAGCAGTAGCAGCAGCATCAGTAGCAGTAGTGATAGTAGCAGTAGCAGCATCAGTAGCGACAGCAGCAGCCGCAGCAGCAGTAGCGGCAGCAGCAGTAGTAGTAATAGTAATAGCCGCAGCAGCAGCAACAACAACAATAACATCAACAGCAGCAGTAGCAGTAGTAGCATCAGTAGCAGTAGCAGCAGCATCCGTAGCAGTAGTGATAGTAGCAGCAGCAGCAACAACAACAACCGCAACAGCAGCAGTAGCAGTAGTAGCAGTAGTAGCATCAGTAGCGTAAGTCCGTGTAATAAGTCCGTGAACATTAATCCTAACCCTAACTCTAACCGAAACCCCAACACCAACCCTAACTCTCACGCTCACCCTGATCCTAATTCTAACGATAACCTCTAAATGTTATAGTCTCTTCTGTACCACCGTACTTTAGTGTAGAGAGGGGGGAAGATCGTCGCTATCTCTCTCGGCGCCCTCTATCTGTCAGCCGTAGCTAGAGCTGTCAGCAGTTTCCTGCGTGGTGTGTTCCAAGGACACTCCATCTTTGACAGCAGTCGGTTTAAACTCGCGTGCGGCAATAATTTCTCTGAATTTCAGGCATTAACTGTATAGTCTGTCGCCGTAAGTCATTGCCCGGCAGGCATTACACGCACGGTGGCCGTACTAGGCCACGCGCGGGAAGCGTTTCGCGTCAGTCTAACATCGTACTAATCCGCCATGTTTTATCTCCGAGGTTAACGTTCCTTTGTCTCGTTACATGTGCGCATGCGCGTCAGTCTAACATCGTACTAATCCGCCATCATGTTAGTTAATTCTCCGACATTAACGTTCATTTGTTTCGTTACATGTGCGCATGCGCGTCAGTCCAACATCGTACTAATCCGCCATGTTTAATCTCCGACATTAACGTTCATTTGTTTCGTTACATGTGCGCATGCGCTTCAGTCCAACATCGTACTAATCCGCCATGTTTAATCTCCGACAATAACGTTCCTTTGTTTCGTTACATGTGCGCATGCGCATCAGTCTCACATCGTACTAATCCGCTATGTTTAATATCCGACATTAACGTTCATTTGTTTCGTTACATGTACGCATGCGCGCCACAGAGGGATACGAATGCAGGGCATTGCTGTCTGCGCAGCGATTCCTGGATCGCGTCTTCGTGCCCTACATCTTCATCGAGTGGCGGGTGATGTTCCGACACCAGCACTTCGCCGATTCGCCGTGCCTCACGAGCGACATCCGGCGCCTGAGCGCCATATTGGACAGCCGGAAGTACGTACCCTACGTGACCAAAGATGGCCGCATGCTCGAGGCGGTGCACAGCGCCACCCGGTGGCAGGACGGGGATGTATATTGGAGACACTGGGAGGCGCCGCGTCTGCACGACACGTGACCTGCTGCTGCAGCGCCACCTCGTGGGAGTGGTGGAACGGTGGCGCCCTCCTGCGGTCGTCGTGCATCTGTTGTTGGTGTTCCGTCGTGAGGGACGCGTGTGTAGGAAGGAAGAGAGCTTAGAGTAAACTTGCGTTGCTAGCCCGGGATTTGGCAACGATGGTGGCGCCAGGAGGATGGCGATGGGAAAAACATGACGGTTAATCATAAATATTGTGTTAGTAGAAGCCGCGAGAATACAAGGGAATTATTCAGTACGTGTGGGTGCGTGCATGCGTGCGTGTGCGTGAGTGTGTGTGTGTGTGCGTAAGTGTGTGTGTGTGTGGTGTGTGTGTGTGTGCGTGTGTGTGTGCGTGTGTGTGTGTGCGGTGTGTGTGTGTGTGTGTGTGTGCGTGCGTGCGTGTGTGTGTGTGCGTGCGTGCGTGCGTGT